ACCCGGGGTAGGCAGGTTCTTGAGCAGGGGGTAGCCGATCCCGTCTGGGCCGGCTGATTTTCAGTTGCTTCTACTAAGCGCGAACTGAAGCTCCTGCCAGGTGAAATCGTCGTTGATCCTCAGGTTGTTCGTGTCCGTATAAACTCGAAAACTGCGTACGGACGAAGTCGATGGGTTTGCTAGTCGTTGAAATCGCAGACAGGTCAGCGAAATAGTCGCCAAGCTTATCTGCAACGATTGCGGGGTCGGAGAGCACAGCGCCGTCTACCTGTATATGCAGTGTGGCCGTACGGCGCTTGCCACTGAGTGCGTTGACCTTACCCCAGAGCTCCACCGAAGACTGTGTGGCATTTATGCTTTCGAGGAAGTCCGTCCAACTGGATCGTTTGGCATCTCGGACCAATTGGCGACACTGGTTGTGCCGTTCTCGATAGGCACAGAGCGCGTTTTCCCTATCCGGATCATCGATGGGAAGCCGTTTTACTCGTCGAAGGGCTTTTCGCCGGGCCTTGACTGCCTTCTTCGTTTCCTCGTTCCACCATCTGAGGTCTTTACGCCCAGCTGGTTTTCGGGATGGTTGCTGACGTTTATTGCTTCAGTGAGATTTTCGATGCTGTCAGGGTTACGTTGTTGAAGGAACGACTGGAAGGTTTCACCGTACCTCTCCCAATCGGCTTCGTCATAGCGCCACCGAGGTCTCCGCGTTGCTGCCGGTATATCGGCGGCAAAGAGTTGCACCTGAACCGGGTAATGATCGCTACCGTAGAGGTCCGGATTGACGCTCCACTGCATTCTTCCAGCAAGGGAACGAATAACAGCAGTTACATTGATCGCCGTGGTGTGCCGTCCATTGAAAAAGGTCAACGATCATTAAGGTTTATCATATCCTCCCTTTCAAACTTGTCTACCAGTGTGGAACCTCTCGAGTCGAGCCGGGGCACCCCCAGCTAAAGTGGTGTGCGTTCAAGTCACCCAAAAAAAATACCCATTTCATACTAATCTTGAGACAGATGACCAGGTTCGTAATTTAAATACCGTTGAAATCTCCAGGATATGTCTACCTGCATTGTGAATGCATATTTCCGGAGTGATTTGAGATTTGGGCGTAATTGTATTTGTAAACAAACAGGTCAATCGCCGATTTCTCGTTAATAAAAGCTCAATCTTATAAACAAACTATACCAAATGATAGAGGAATCATACCTCTACCGCATAGTGTTATTAGTTTTCAAAATTGAGCCTTTATTCGCGAAAAATCGGTGATTGACGTGTTTGTTTACAAACACAATTACGCCCAAATCTCAAATCACTCCGGATTTATGTTCCTAAATGGTGGAGACGCGCCGTGCTTCACATGTATTGTCATTTCAAATCCCAGCATAAGCACTGTTCTTAATCAGCATCTTTTTTCTCCACCCCGCAGGCCTTTAAGTTGCACAATCTGGACCAGGGTCCGGCAACGACCGTCACCGTCAGCAAGGAGGATGCCCTGAAGTACTACAGCCAGATGTACGCGATCCGTCGCATGGAAACGGCCGCCGGCAACCTGTACAAGGAGAAGATCATCCGTGGATTCTGCCATCTGTACTCGGGTCAGGAAGCGTGCGCCGTCGGAATGCGTGCCGCCATGCGTCCGGAGGATTCATGCATCACGGCTTACCGTTGCCACGGCTGGTCGTACCTGATGGGCGTTCCGATGCAAGGCGTTCTGTCCGAACTGACCGGTCGTCAGGGTGGATGCGCTCGCGGAAAGGGAGGCAGTATGCACATGTATGCTCGTAACTTCTACGGCGGAAATGGAATCGTAGGAGCGCAGGTACCGCTCGGAGTCGGAATTGGCATGGCTGCCAAGTACAACGGTTCGAAGGGAGTTTGCATCGCTGCCTACGGAGATGGTGCTGCCAATCAGGGTCAGTTGTTTGAGGTTTACAACATGGCTAAGCTGTGGGGTGCGCCGGTCATTTTCGTGTGCGAGAACAATGGCTACGGTATGGGAACCAGTGCGGAACGTGCCTCGGCTAATGTGAACTACTACACCAGGGGAGATACCGTGCCCGGAATCTGGGTCGACGGTATGGACGTTTTGGCCGTTCGTGAAGCTACCCAGTTTGCAATTGAGCATTGCAACAGCGGAAAGGGGCCGATTCTGCTGGAGACGGCTACCTACCGCTATTCGGGTCATTCCATGTCCGATCCAGGAACGAGCTACCGATCGCGTGATGAAATCGCCGAAGTCCGTCAGACTCGTGATCCAATCACGTCGCTGCGGGAGAAGATTCTGACAAACGAACTGGCCACCACCGAGGAACTGAAGGAAATCGAATCGAAGCTCCGGGGCGAAGTGGATTCTGCGACGAAGGCAGCAAAGGCCGACAAGGAAATCGCAGTCGATGAGCTGTGTGCGGATATCTACGCTAAGCCGGATAATACCACCGCTATTAGGAATACGATGCCATTGATGGAACTCTCCCACAAGCGCCTTGGTAAGGCAGTGAACCTGTGAAATGTTTTCCAAACTGCCACGAGCATCACTTCCATTATTGATATTGAAGGGAATGGAAGCAAACGAAACATGTTTTAATCTCATAAGCGCACGATTAGGTTGATTTTATTTTAGCTCAAAGCAAACACGATCACCCATTTACGATTGGTATAGAAAAGACGCGCCGATATCGATCATAAAATTTCAACGAAAAACAAACATTCTATCCAATAAACAACCACAACACACTCAACACGGGTTTCCAGGCATTTAAGTTTGTGTTTCTGTTCTTGTAGCGATTATTGTTGTTCGCGCCGCTCTTTGTAAAAATAAGGGTCATTCGAATATCAGTGCAAATAAACTCTATTGAAAATAGTAGGTACACTCGTAAGCATTTTATTAACGCTCTCACAGTTCCCTCCCGAAACCAATCATCGACTATGCCGCACCAGTTGCATTTCCAGATGATGCAAAATGGAACTGTGCCAGACTAGATACAGCACCAGCAGGGCGAAGCCCACCTTCAGGACCCGATCAATCAGGATCAGTCGGTTCATCTTCTTGGCCGCCTTCGGAATGGTTTCATCCGGATCGTTCAGCAAGTACCGCCGGACGCCCATCCAGCATTCAAAGTAGAACTGATCTATCTTCTCCTCCGACAGGTGCCAGCTGAAGGTTTTGCTGAAAAAAAAACCCATTATTCTGTGTGCTAATTTTCCAAAAGCAACTTACACATCATCACCCTGCAGTTCATCCCTCAATGATCGAAACCGCTTGGTTTCGAAAATCCACTGATTGTACACAAAGTACCGCAGGGACGCCTGCGCTAGGAACACCTTACGTTGGATTTTCATCAAGCTAGAACAAAAATAAATCGCATTGAAGCCACTTCACTCCCTGACCCAACCACCAAAAATACTCACAACGGCTTCTTCCCGCTGATCAAGCACAGTGCATCTACCAATAGGGCCGGCAGAATATGCGCCAGTAGCACCATCACATAGTACTTGAGGCGCCACGTAGTCGCACTACCACCTGGAACCCACAGCAGCTTCGTAAACGACAACCGGGTCATGTTCGCCTTCCCACAGTCCAGCATCTTCTTGTACTGCCACGAGTGTTCGTACTCGGCGGCGCTGTTGTACACCGGTAGGTAATCCCCCCGGAAGGTATGTTCTTTGGTTCCACGCTGCCATGCGGCCAGCAGCAGAGCTTTGATGGAAATATCCGCTGGGATGGTGTTGGCGCGATTTTCCAATGGCATCAGGTCCGTCCGAACGATTCCCGTACCGGCTCCGAGCAACATCCCCGATGGCCCATTCAGGTTGTCTATCCAGCCGACCAGGGGTTCATCGATGGTGTTTACCACCACCGAGGGGCGGAAGATGACCAACGGGAGCTGGCTCTGATAGTCCTTGCAAACCTGCTCGGCCAGGCCTTTGGTGAAGGTGTACGTGTTGGGGGCGGAGTTGGTGATCCTGAGTGAGTGGGTAAAGATAATTATTAGATCAGCGTTTGCGGAGACGGGGTGGTTCCGAACTATGAGGCATACTTATCTGTTAAAATATTGAGAACTTGATGATCGAATTGCAGAGCGCATTCGAGCATTTTCTTCCAATCAGCTTTAGGCGAGTATAACTGCAGCGAAATATGGAAATGTTACAAGAATTAATGAGTGGATGGAATGCAAAAGTTTAACATTTTCTCTGCTTTGAAAGTTGATACATATTTCATTATCGTCAAACGAAAATTGATTCAATAATTCTAATTATTTAATGGTTTAGAAGACTTTTTACAAATAATAGCCATATATAGGACAAGGTGGGGTAAAACGCACCCTGGCGTTATATGACCAACAGCGTTTTTTCTCGAACTATTAAAAGGCTAATTGATATAAGCAATTTCCCAGATGACTGTTCTGCAGCTAGTGATTATGGGTGAAACCAAAGATATTTAATTAACAAGATATCCCACTAATCAATTCCTCGAACTAGGCAATGGATGCACCACCATTATGTGATCACAGTGCCATCTGGTGAGTGCACATTGAAGCTGTTGGGAGTCCCCCGCCAAATTCGCCACCAGGGCTCAATAAATGACAGGTGTCAGTATGACATATGCCAGCGCGGACGTTGATGATAAACCGAGGGAAGAGGATGATCGATGTCATCATCATTATATTGCTATAGAAATATTCTCACTTCATTAAATATGATTGCATCGATTTTAAATCATTACCACGTTATACGCAGTAGAAACGCTTGTGAAAACAATCACAAATCCAAGATCACATAATGATGGGCTTCTAATATATTTTACGCTTTCGAGTGAACAAGTTTCCAATGTCACCACCGGTATCAGTAAGATGCATTGTTTACAAACACCACTAGCAGGTAGGGGAAAATTTCCCCTATTTGATGGTAGTGTTAGCATGCGTGGGTGAGCTACCAGTTACGCCCAATCGACGATCAAATGCATTGTTTATAAAAGCTGATACATCCCTTTGAAAAAGTAGTCAAGAATTGATATTTTATGAAGCTGTTGCTCAACATAATCTTTATAAGCATAGAAGTATATGTACATGGAAAAAAACGCAACGTATCGAAGTCAATGCTAAACAAACGTGCCATCTTCCTTGGCCAACGCTGCACGCTATTGGCTATTCACAAATTACGTTGGAATAATGATAACTTTTCTATTTTAAAACGAAGGTATTTTTCAATGACGGCGAATGAAATCGCAAACTGCCTAAGCTGAGTGATGACACCGCTTCGTGTTTTGATTTGCGCTGTACTCTCCGCTCAGTGGTGTGGGTTCGTACATGTATAGATGATGGTGTGCGTGTTTTCTTCCAACGCTGCAGTTCAACGTTGTATCGTCACAAACCTATTGGCGCTGTTATCTGTCTCTATGTATTCCAAAGAGTGAAAGGGGTCTGAAGAAAATGATAGTTAGCTTTAAAGCTGGGTTTAGACAGGGCAAGTCAATTGATTAAGTCAGTTGAATTCATCTGACTTGAACGCGAATTGAACGTGTAAACCATGTCATTCAACTGACTTGATCAACTCACATGAATTGAAAAAAGATGAACCAGGCTCAACTTTTCAAGTCAATTGAATTCAACTGAGTAGATCCTTTGACGTGCCTAGTCTAAACCCAGCTTAAGGATTCGCCGATTCGGTGTCTTTCGTTGTCTGTTCTCCTAAAGCTGAAAAATTACGCTTAAATCACGAATCACTCCGGCAGTCTTGCAGTACCGACAAACCGACATGAATGACCATCAAATTTCTGAACATTGGCTTGAAAAGTTCAACCTGGTTCATCTTTTTTCAATTCAAGTGAGTTGATCAAGTCAGTTGAATGGCATGGTTTACACGTTCAATTCGCTTTCAAGTCAGATGAATTAAACTGACTTGATCAATTGACTTGCCCTATCTCAACCCAGCTTTAGAGCGGAAGGGAGAGAAGTAGGAAGTAGTATAAAGTCGATATCCCTTTTATTTCATTGCACTCGCAGCTCAGCTGCGGTGCTATTTAGATAGAGGAGTGCGCAGCTTAGCTACTTCTGCATGCTGCTATGAAGAGGCTAGCGTCCGCGTCTCTTACAAGGACCAGGGTTACGAATGGGCAAGGAGGAGCACGGGTTAGTCAATGCCACCCACCGTCTCTTATAATTCAATAATACATTATTTTATCATTTCTGTATACGTCAAAAGACGATCTTAAAAGGAAATAAATACAAACTATAGCAAAGTTCTGCAAATTTAAATGAATTTCGTGAGCTTCGGAAAAATTTAATAACGTTCAGAGAAGTTTCTTCACTAAATTTCTTTTTAAAAAATCGGAATTTCTGCTTATATACGATTTTCCCACGAATTCGACAAGCTGCTCAAAGGTTTGCATCTTTGTCAATCATTGAATAATTCTGATGATTGCTGAATTACAAAAAAGTTTCAAAACACACGTGAAATACGCAGAATTTAAGTGAATTGTTTTGAACTTTTCTGAAGCTCACAAGAATGTTTGAAGTTCACAAATTATAATTAGCCCTTCAATTAATCAAATAATGTTCTCTGAGTATTTTATCACTCTTCTGGTTGATAAGTACTTATTCTGAAGATTTCGAATGGTCCAATAGCTCAAATCATGCCTCTAAGATATTCTTGCAAGAACGTCGGTTGATCAATAATAATAACAATAATAATAATAATAATCTGCAGGGTAGCCACCCAACCGGCAAAACCGGGAGAACCAAAAAATAACCGAGAAATAGCCGGAAAATGAATTCAATCTAACAATATTTTTGTACATATTTTAATTGAGTTCTGTTAATGTGTTAACTAAATGTTCTGTTTCCTTTACTGTACTGACTTGATTTGATTTTAGGAATAATAAGCAATCTGCAGAATAATGATTGCAGTAAGCCGCGCTTAAAAACTGACGTGTTTTTCGTCAGCGAATTAAACACATTTTGGCTTTAAATTTGTTAGTTTGTGTGCTGAAATTTAGTTTCAAGTGTTCATAAAGTTATCATTTAGTGATATAGGGGAAATGACGGCTTCGGCATGACAGACTATTTTCGGCAACACAAATTGAAACACTATTTTCACTGGATTTTCTTACGAAAACACTTAGCTGAATGCATGCAAACGATTCTTTATGCTTTCAGCTTCAATTTGACTATATTTTTACCACTGATAAAAAGCAATCTAGCAAGGTTTTCTTGAAATGCAACACACGCACTACAAATTGTAGCTGATTTCGAGTTGCCGATAATAGAACAGCAGATTTACATGCAGTTCAAATGGAACGGTTGCCGAAGAAAAACTGGTTGCCGACAATACTCGCTCTCACTAGAGAAGATTGGAGCTTTGTAAAAGCGTTTCAAAACAGTTTTTGACAATTCTTTTGACTGAAATTGTTAGAGCAGCTGGCAGCAAAAGATTGTAAACAAACCAATACTGCATATGTGTGCGTTCCTTAGAGAAAAAGGCTATAGAAAGAAGGTCGCTGCTGAGGTTGCCGAGAATACGTACATTCCCCTATCGTGTTTTGCCTGTGTTTGCCTTGAGTGGTTCGGTTGGTCTTGAATCTAACCTCCAAAATATACAACGCAGATTCAGTTCCATTGTTCGGTGTCGATTTTCATTGCCTCCTGGGTGCCCAGTTTTCTAAGTTCAGATGCTACACTTTCGGTGTGTAGTGCTATTGATATATCGGTCCGGTTGGTGAATTAGCCCGGGAGCGTGTTGATAATGTGTCCGTCGCGAATTTTGGTGGTGATTCGGTGGCCGACGTTGCCGTGCCAGGTTTGAAAATAATATTTTCGAACCTGGAAGCGTGTATGTAATACCAATATCCATTTGCCATTAGCAGCGATATGGCTCTCGTTCCGTTTTGCTGAACGTTCTAGTTACACACATTCAACTGCTTGCGCAACTAGCCACCCAATCAGAATGTTGCGTAGGCTTAAATAAACCGTTCACCTATATCGCATCTCTTATTTGCTTACCCTTCGTTTACCGGCAGCTTACCCTTTACTGCACGGTAAAAAAAAAACATCATGTTCATGTAAAGTGATTTGCTGTTGAATTTGAACTACTTGCCAAACTTGTACTTTGAACTCGAAATGTCAACCATACTGATATTAAAAATCTATCACATAAAGTTTAACTAATTTATCCTTGGATTTCATGTTGGCTGAAAATGGTTTAAAATAAATATATTGCCTTGTTCATACTTGTTATATGTTATTCAGAATATGACCATAGAACATGTATCATATACATTGAATACAGTAACAATTTCATAATACTCACGCTCTAGAATGCAAATTATTTCGGGTGGAAATGGAAAATTATCGCTTTCTTTCTCTGAATTCATTTGTTGTTGACTTGTCATCTTCGCGAGTAATGTTTGTCATGTGCGTTTTTGACATTTGCTTCCAAAGCAACACTAATCAAATTCGATGGATGAAAACAGTGATGCCAATTCAAATGATAATCATTTTCAGTGTTGGGAAAATATCAAAAAATCAAATCTCACCAACGCCCAAGATCACGCTTGATTTTCGTAGGCAAAAATCAACAAGCAAACAACTGCGGTTGATTTTGCAAGCTGTGATATAGCAGCTCGGAATATCAAGCTAACAAAACTCACCAACTGCAAATCTCACCAAACTGTGGTGAGATTGAGTTCAATGATTTTTGCTTTACACCCGAATGCAACCGAAACTTCCATAACGGCTTGCAGCAGTCCCTTCGCGTCTGCCATCGGTGAAGATTAAAAAGAGATAGCAAACTTTACTTTCTCTTTCTAAGAAAACGATGTGCAATGGAATCATTTATGTTACGAGTCAACTCTCAGCTTGATTTTTACACGTTGTGAATAGTCTCGCAATATCAAAGGAGCTTGTAAAATCAATATCAAGCATGATATTTTGTTCCAATATCACGCGTGATATTGCGAGCCCATGAGAGCGGAAAAATATCAATTGATTTCTGATTTTGCCAACACTGATCATTTTGATTTAAAGGTGTTATACAGTACATCTTTTTCAACGACAAATCACTTTATTTCAAAAAGCGAATCACTTGAAAATCAATGATAAATCACTTCGATTCGTAGTGCCACATGAC